TAGAGATATTCTGCTTTAAAATCCGATGAAGATAAGTTGAGTTATGGAGTTTAGAACTTCAGCCTTGGGTCATTTTTTGAATTGTTTTGATTTTGTACAACATTATTCAACAAAAAAGTACAAAAATTAGAAAAAAAAATAAATTTCTAAATTTGAATGCAGATTTTTAGAGAATTGCTCCAGAAACATTTAGAGATATGCCACATAAAAATCCGATTAAGATAAGTGGAGTTATGGAGTTTGGAACTTCAGCCTTGGGTCATTTTTTGAATTGTTTTGATTTTGTACAACATTATACACCAAAAAAGTACAAAAATTAAAAAAAAAAATAAATTTCTAAATTTGAATGCAGATTTTTAGAGAATTGCTCCAGAAACATTTAGAGATATTCTGCTTTAAAATCCGATGAAGATAAGTTGAGTTATGGAGTTCCGAACTTCAGCCTTGGGTCATTTTTTGAATTGTTTTGATTTCGTACAACATTATTCAACAAAAAAGTACAAAAATTAAAAAAAAAAAAAAATTTCTAAATTTGAATGCAGAGTTTTAGAGAATTGCGCCAGAAACATTTAGAGGTATGCCGCTTAAAAATCCGATTAAGGGAAGTGGAGTTATGGAGTTCCGAACTTCAGCCTTGGGTCAATTTTTGAATTGTTTTGATTTTGTACAACATTATACACCAAAAAAGTACAAAAATTAAAAAAAAAAATAAATTTCTAAATTTGAATGCAGATTTTTAGAGAATTGCGACAGAAACATTTAGAGATATTCTGCTTTAAAATCCGATGAAGATAAGTTGAGTTATGGAGTTCCGAACTTCAGCCTTGGGTCATTTTTTGAATTGTTTTGATTTCGTACAACATTATTCAACAAAAAAGTACAAAAATTAGAAAAAAAAATAAATTTCTAAATTTGAATGCAGATTTTTAGAGAATTGCTCCAGAAACATTTAGAGGTATGCCGCTTAAAAATCCGATTAAGGGAAGTGGAGTTATGGAGTTCCGAACTTCAGCCTTGGGTCAATTTTTGAATTGTTTTGATTTTGTACAACATTATACACCAAAAAAGTACAAAAATTAAAAAAAAAAATAAATTTCTAAATTTGAATGCAGATTTTTAGAGAATTGCGACAGAAACATTTAGAGATATTCTGCTTTAAAATCCGATGAAGATAAGTTGAGTTATGGAGTTTGGAACTTCAGCCTTGGGCCATTTTTTGAATTGTTTTGATTTTGTACAACATTATACACCAAAAAAGTACAAAAATTAAAAAAAAAAATAAATTTCTAAATTTGAATGCAGATTTTTAGAGAATCGCGCCAGAAACATTTAGAGGCAACATAGAAATCCGATTAAGATAAGTTGAGTTATGGAGTATACAAGTTCAGCCTTGGGAAATTTTTTAGTTCTTTTGAATTTCTGCAACATAATCACATCAAAAAAAATGACAAAAAAATTTAAAAAAATAAATTTCTCAATTTAAATGACCTCAAAGTCTGATTAGGATAAGTTACTTGCGTGCTTAGTCTCAACATTCTAGCTTTTGTAGTTGCTGAGATCGAGGCGTTCAGACAGACACACGGACGTGGCCAGAAGGACTCGGCTATTGATCCTGGTCAAGAACATAATACTTGATATGGTCGGAAACGCTTCCTTCTGCTGTTACATACTCTTCAACGAAGCTAGAACACCCTTTCACTCTACGAGTAGCGGGTATAAATGGAAGAAAAAAGAAAATGGGAAAACGACTGTTGTAAACCAGAGCTGCTCGCTCCGTGAGTGACCGCTGCAGGTACGAGCGAGTATCTGCGGCCTTGCGAGCAGTGCACATTTTTCTATAAAATATTCATTAACCCGATATTCATTAAAATGACGCCGCCTCGTTAGGGTTAATGGCGCCAGTGGCCCCCAGTCGGTCGCCAAGCGCCACGTAATTACATGGGCGGAGGTTGTGCGACTTAAGGGGGTGGAAGGGCGGAGGACGAAGGGCGCGGGGCGAAGGGCTAACGGCGTTGGGTGGCGATGGGTGTCTGCGTCTGTGCTGCGCCCCTCCTGCTATGTAGGTCAAGCATCCGCGATCCTGGAGTCCTGTCGCCTCCAGAACGCATCCGTAGCACCGCTAATCCACTTGGACACCCTCAACGCCCCGCGAAGGACGCTCCGCCCCGCCGCCCCGCGATGGGCGGGACATTCAGCGAAATGGGTGGCAGACAAGCCAAACATATCAAATAGGCACAATTACGCACACATTGGCAACCCGGGAAAAGTCTGGGCTCAGCTCACGTACGTAATATTCAACAGCCGCGTGACCTCTAACCTTAGCACCGCGGCGAATGCAAAGGGGCTGGAATCAAAAATTGGCAAGTTGTCAGACGGCAATTGATCCATTACCTAGCTGCTTACCACGCTATCTGCAGTGAGCGAAATAATTCGTTCTGAACTGGAGTTGGATAATGCTCCGCAGGTTTCTGTTTCACATCGGATTCTATTATTTGGGAAATCGCCATTTTGAGCTTGATGTCATTCCCTCGCTGCTTTTGCTGCTTCGACTCCTGGACTAATTTACTTTGGAACCTCTGCGTTTATTTGAGGCAAATGTACCATTTCAATTATTCAGGCCGCGCTGTTGTTCATTTGTATGCCATTTTTCGTGGAGTGTAGCCCGCCCCCGGCCCGCCCACGGCCCGCCCCCTTTCGGCCGCCCTTATCCATATGCAAACAGCAGCGACAACACAGCATGCACAAAGAATAAAGTGGCAACAGCGACAAGTTTCGAGTGTTGGCCTCGTGTTGACTTTTGTGAAAGGTGTGACAATATTTACAATGTCTTGTTAATTGAATTTAATGCGTCCCCCCTGAGTGTGTGTGTGTGTGTGCGCGTTTGTACGTGTGTGCTTGTGTGTGGAGGCTTCCCTTTATATATGCCGTGCATAGCCGCCTCACTCGATCCGCCGAGTGTTTGGGTAGGCAACAAAAGTTAATTCAAATTATTAATGGACGATTTGCGAACACTTTGCGCTCGAATGCGGGCAATGAAAATTCGTTGTCATCGCATCATGCGGTTGATTTGGCTGTCACCTTCGAGCTCCCTCCCCAACAGAATCTTAAGCCGGGCTTAAAGGCGAAACCGGAGGGAATGGTTCCGTAACTCCAGCGGCGACAAAAATAACACAGCGACACTCAAATTCGGTCAAAGAAAACCTGGGGAATTCCGTGAAAACACGTTCAACCAAAGCCATGCAAGCTGATTGAACGAGAGTTGAATGGCTCGTGCTATAAAGAGCCAGTATTTCCAGTAATAGTGGGAAATCGCTTCTGCGTGTCGGTAGCCATGAGTATGTAGAAGTTACTAGTGAAAAGTTAACCCATACATACAATTCCTATGCAGCCTGAATAAAATATAACTATTTTGTTGAAAGCTTTAGAATGAACTTTGATATAAATTTATTCATATTATTCAGTCTTGGCAAGTTGAGCAACAGATGGCGCCATTTAGTTCACATTTATTCTTATTCATCATTGTAATTTGATACGAGTATTACATTTCCTTCTGTTAAATTTTAACAGAGGGTTTTGTATGACTGCGTATATGAATACAGATAAAAGGATAGGGTAAATTAAAAAATGCAATATATTGGCATGATTTGAAATGATTCAAAGTGTAAACTTGATTAAGAACGGCATTTTTGTTTTCAGCTCTTGTGTATCTGCTGCAACCAATAAACGAACAATACACATTTTAACGAGGTAGAGTGTTCTGATAATTAATGAATTAAAAGTAATTATACAGTCGACAAAATAACTCAATTTTAAGAACCTTATTCATACCACCTACGTGCCGCGCCCAAATTTCACCCATGACAATGTCTTCATCATTAATTGTTAAAAACATTAACAATATGGGATTATTTAGTTTGCTCTTGCCATTATTTCAGTTGAAATGCAACTGAAAAGTTTAAATTAACCTATTGAGTGCATGCAAATTCACTTAGGTAGCTGTGACATTTAAGCCGCAATGAATGTAATTGAATTCAATGTATTTGGCTGCCAAATGGTATTAACATTTCGTATCAGATTTCCGACCTAATTTTTTAAGCTAATTACATGGTTAATTAAATTTCATGCAGGAGAACATTATTATAGCATACTTTTACGGCTGCCTGAAAGCCAATTGCATACTTTTGTGCGGCCAATGTTGACTGACAAAAGCTCGAAGGGCTGTTAAGCGCAGCTTCCCCACACCAGCCGTCAGGTGGTGCTATCGTGCCGCAGTACGCGCCAGTGGCAACGCGTCGTATGAGTAATGCGCGGCGACTGCGAGCCATTGAGGCGGGGAAAATTCCCTGGAATGCGACTGCAGTGCGGCAGACAGTGCGCCTATGGCCAGCCAATGGCCGATTGGCAGGCTGACAGATGGGCGGACTGGCCAAGCCGCCCAATAGATTAACCAAACGATCTCGCACTGCATTGATCGCATGCCGCGGGCATGAATAAGCCGATAAGAGGAGCGTCCTCGATAAGGAATGCGGGCAGCGGACGCGCTGATTCCTCCGTGGAGTGGAAACGGAAACCGCGACGCGAACCTCCACGCTTCTTGGCCGCTGCAAGGGGCCTTTATCTGGGCTAGAAGCGGCCGAGTGTGCCAAGTGCCGGGCTTATTGGGCCATAAGGCGCAAATAGGCTCAATAATTGCCCGATAAGAAGCTTCCGATCGGAAGTGTCAAGAGCTCTCGTCGAACCGATCGGCTGGGCTAACAGTTCGCTATCGGCGATGGTGGCAACAAGCCCCAACCCTTTGAATTTTCCGGTACAACACTTTAGTTGTTTATACAACTAGAATCTAATCGAAATTTTAGCGAAGGCACACTTTCGTGGTTTCCCTTGCCAATAACTGTAAGCTATCTGAATACCAGAATCTCCCAAGAATATACCTTGTATATGTTTTAGATTTCTAAAGATGGAATACAAAAAATAAAATAAAATAATGCACACCATTTTTTGTCTTTTCTAAGTTTATTTTGCACAAACTTACAACTAAGCACAAGAATGTCTGTACGATACTTCGCTTCGTTTTCATTCACAATCGTTTCATGTTCGTTCACAATCACTAAGAACTATTCAAAAAAAGTACTTAAAATAAATCACAGTAGATTTAAGCATTTTTTTGTTTGTGGCTGGTTTTTGTTGGGCTTTTGCTGGCGAGTTTATCTGGCCGTTTCACAAATAAATACGTATAAATACGATATTGATATACATAAATAAATAAATAAGTTACTACACATAGAGAAAAAAAGGTCCATATTCTAGATGGTAAATAAATAGTCGAGTTGGCACTGGGCCGAATGGAAAATGGGCTTAAATGGAGTGGATTAGATTGGTTTGGCTTGGCAACTGGAATGGAAGGCGCTCTAATACTTAATACTCAATACTCATTACTCATTACTCAATACTCAATATTCAATAAATAAATAAATACTAAAGTACGTGTCTAAATGGCATTCGACAAAAATTCTTCGTTCTCGCCCGCTCGATTGGTCGGGTGGTCCTCTATTTGGCTTGGAAGCTGCAGAGCTGGAAGGCTGCTAAGCTTGGGAATGGGCAGCTGTAAGTACTCGCTGTAATACTGGAAGGGCGTGGAAAGGATGTGGGCCCGGCTCAGCTCAGGACTCCCTGGAGCCGCCGTCCGAGCTGAAGCTGCCGCCGGATGCGTTCGAGGAGCCCACGTCGAGCATTTCCGAGCTGCCCGCCCGCAGGCCGCTCGCGCCAGTTGCGTGGCTCGCCGACAGGTGGCGCCGCTCGGCGCTGTTGCGCCGCGGACGCCGCAGGACGCGGTGCAGGGTCTTCCACACATTGTCCAGGTACTGGAAGTACAGCTCCTTGCTGACCTTCAGGTCGCGCTGGTCCGCCTCCGTGGATCCGTTGGCGGGCGTGTGGAAGCTGAGCCGCTCCTCCATCGCCTGCCGGCTGACGCGGCTCAGCTTGGCCCCATTGCTGTTCGGGTAGGAGGCGTTGATGGTCGACTCGATCTCGCAGAGCATGTAGCGCGCGCTGACCAGCAGGTCGTGCAGCTCCTTGGTGACCGCCTCGTTGAGGCTCTTCTGCTGATCCTTGCGGAACTTGTACTGCGCCCGGCCCAGGTACGAGAAGCTGCCCACGAAGGTCTGCATGTGGCGGTACCAGGTCTTCAGCTTCACCTGCGAGTGGGAGATGGAGGAGAGGAGGAGAGTGCTCGTCAGTCACTGCTGCTGCAAGTGCTCCCAGTGCTGCGCAGCTGGGAAGGGCATGCAAATGAGGCGGGCCGACTGGAAACTGGTCTGCGCCGCCCAGGGCGGAGCAGGTCCGCTTCACTCTCTCGCCGCCTTGCCGCCTTGCCGCCTTGCTGCCTCGGCTTGGATCGCTCAACTTACCGCACTTGTGGGCCTCGTCATGTTCGGCAGGAACTTGTACTCGCGCTGCCAGTGGGGCAGATTGCCGTACTCCAGGGTGGCGCGGCGGGTTATGTCTTGGTACTCGCTCATCGTGATGTTCCGCAAGTTTTCGAGGTGCTGCAAGGGTGGGGAGGGAATCGATGAGTAATGCATCTTGGCTGTGCGACAGAACACAGAACTAAATGCAGCATACGCGGCTGCCCAAGCAGCTGTCCTGCTCAACAGTCAACAGTTCACGCATCGCATAGATGTATCTATGTATCTCAGCAGCAAAGCTCTCATTTGACTGAGTGCTGCTGCTTGAGGTAGGTTGCTTCCCGCCTCGAAGCCAAGTGACGTACACCTTTTGAGGTAGGTCACCAGCGCCCACGCGGACTTGGACAACATCCCATCCCCGCTTACCTTGCGCTTGATCACCCGTCCCTGGCTGGCGCTGCTGTCGCTGAGGCTCTCGTCCGCCGTGTAGGTTCCTCCGCACGGGTTCTCCCACTCCGGGATGTCTGACTTGCTGGCGAAGAGGCGCAGGTTGTGGCTGCGGGCGTGCCGCGTCCTCTGGCGGCGCATCTCCCGCCTGGCGGCCCGGATGGCCGCCTGGGCGATCTCCTCGTAGCTGCTCTCGCTGAGACTCGTATCACTGTCGTAGCTGCCCTCGCCGAAGCTCTCGGCCAGGCCGCGATAGGGATTCACATCGAAGGCGGGCAGGAAGTCGCCGCCCGCGGATGACGATGAGGAGGAGGAGGAGGAGGAGGAGGACTCGTCGTAGGCGTAGTCCAGCGCCACCTGGTCGCGCAAGTGGCGCGCCTGGGTGCGTGGCATCACGGCGGCCAGTATCATGATCACGAGCAGCGCTTGCCGGCTGCGGCTGCTCCAGCTGCTGTGTGTTTTCGCGCTGCTCCCGCTGCTTTGGCTCTGTGGGCTGCCTGCAAGTGGCGGAGATGGTGGATGCGTTAGTTCGCTTCAGTGGGGAAGTGGGCGGTGGGCGGTGGGTGTGGCGGAAGTGCGGGCGTACCGTTTAAGCTAAAGGCTGGCATTGCGCCTATCACTAACTAGCACTACACTAACTGGGCTAACTGGGCTGACTGGGCTGACTAGCTGGCTAGCTGCTGGCCAACTATCACAATCGCTTGCTGCTGCTGATCCACGTGTCTCCCGCTCGACGGCTGATGGCTAAGTGACTGCCGCTGCAGCGGCGCTCGAAAATTTGTAAGCCGCCAGCCGCCTGACGTCGCTCACGCATGCCACTGCCACTGCCACTGCCACTCGTCTGGACTCTGCTCACTCTCCATGCGATCTCCCAATCCCAATCCCAATCCCAATCGATCGAGAGTGCGAGTGCGAGTGCGCGTGCGAGTGCGAGCGAGAGCGTGGCGGCGAGCGAGTGAGTGAGCGCAATTACAGCAGCCGACGCTCGAGGCCTTGAGCAGAAATTGCTGCCATGGCTTTCGAGCGTTTGTCGCGCTCTCAAAGTCGCTCGTCTCTCGCTCTCTCGGCCGCCTTTGGCTGAATTTCACCAGAAAGATTACTCATAGGTATTTGGGTTTTTTCGCCTTTTCGGATATCGGCTTGGGTTCCGATTCACCATTTCCATTTCCACTTCCATTTCCGACCTGACCAGACCGGGCCACCCCGCCAGACGCTCCCCAGACGTCGCCGTCGCCGCTGGCGCTGGCGTCGCCGCTGGCGTCGGCGTCGGAGTCTGCGGCAAGCGATGACGTAGCCAGAGCAGCGCGCACCACCCACCGCACAGCGCCCGCCGCGGCACTCTCGACCTTTGAATAATTGCCGCTCAGCAGACCGCTCGCGCCGCCGACCAATGGCAAGCGGCTGTTGTCGTAGGTCGGCGACTTGATAACGACGTCGGCGGAGCTGCCGGCGGTTCTGCGGTTCTGCGACTGCGATAAGGCACGTGCCAGCTGTTGTTGTGGCCCAAGTGGATCAGCTGCCCAAGGCCAGGAGCACCAATTGGGCGCTGGTCGAGATGGTGGCGAAAGTTGCGCGCTGCCTATCTGCTAGGTACATATGTATCTACAAGATAGCTGTGCAGTATTGCATGCGTTAGCTCGACAAGTGACAACTGGGTTTCACAATCTACAAGTATCTGCCGGAGAATGGGCACTTGGCGCACCAACTCTAAGCAGCTATTTTCATAAATGCTGCTCACAATTAACCCGTCTTTAATTGAGCCCCTTTTGGAGGCAACGCCGTCGCACCTTCGCCTACTCCACCTTGCCATTCACCAGCGTGGCATTAGCGCCGAAGCCGATTATTAACAGTTCGATCACTCGCCGTCCGGAGTGGGGATTCACCCCACGAAGCCCACGAAGCCCAGCAAGCCCAGCAAGCAGAAGGCACTAGTACACTAGCTGCCAAATTGCCAAACTGGCCAACTTGAACACACAGCATTAATCATGGGAACCGATCGAAGGTATTCCGTAATGGGCAGGCCATCACCTTTTTATAAACCATTGCGAAACGGCGTGTGGGGAAAGTTATCTTCCAGCTGGGAAAGCGGTGATCTAATTGCGCCCTTCGCACCTCGCCAATCAATACTCACTGTGAAGTCGCATTTTCGGGGCCGGATCACGTTCTATTTTGGCACCATCCATAATGCTGCGATGCCAGTCCTCACTGGGAGATCAGTCGGATGCAATGGGCTACTCTGCTTTTGGTCTACTGCTGTTCCGGTGCCGCTTGGTGCGCTATCTTTCCTCCGATGGCTGGGCTCACAAGCCGGACAATTAGCATTGGCGTGTGTCTAAGCGAAACTGATTCATGGTCTCGGGTCGTCGCATAATTTTATATTTATACCCAAATCGCCGGCGCTGGCTGCCGCCTGTGAGGCAGTCCCACCAGCAGCAGCGGCAGCAGCGGCAGCAGCAGCAGCAGCAGTCGCTGCCTCCGCCGGCGGCGCAGTCGGCGCTACCGCTCGCCGGGGCAGCAGGATAGCTGCCCGGCTATCTCGCCGTTGCCCCGGCAGAGCGGTGTGGCAGCAGCGGGCGGCAGCGCAGTCGACGGTACGCGGACGTCAATGGAGTCGCCGAAGTGCCGTCGTGCGAAAGAATCGCCATCGGACGTGGGGAATCCAAATCGGAGTCAGAAGTGCGCGCCACGCTTATAATTATTATTGGATTATTTGATTTGATGATTGCCCAAGCAGCCAGCTCCCCCACCCCCACCCCCACCACCCCCATCATATTTATATATAATCAATTGCGTATGTAGTTGGGCGTCAGCCACCCCACCTGAACTCCACCTCCCCCACCGCCTCCACCGCCTCCACCGCCGCCAGTGGCTCCCACACACAACTCTCGAGCCGGGGGATTTTTCTTTGGCCCTCGATGGTGTGCGTAAGTGTGCCTCGTTCATGTGTCTCATTATACACACCATCGCATTGTTTGTTGGCCATTGAGGTTTTGTTTGCGTCACAATGCCGCACCACTGCCTCCGCCTGCCCCGTCGGGTGGGGGGCGTGGCAGAGCTAGTTTTTTGGCAGCGGTGGGGCGGTGGGGCGGTGGGGCGGGGGGTGTGTTTTGTTGCCTCAATGCGAAATTAATTGCATTGCTCGCGGACCGGGTTCAAAAATCATGTTTTTCAACAGCGGGGGATTTTTTGGCCGGCGACCAAGAGGCCATGGGAAATTTCGGGGCACGCCAATGGAGAGAGATCTCTGGGTCGATCATCCCCACGTGTGTGTGTGCGTGTGTGCCTCTGGAAAGAGGAGATGGAGCTGGTGATAACGGCCACTTGGACAGCACGGCATTCTCAATGAAAGCTGCGGCCCAGTCAAAGTATCTCCCAGTAAAGTATCGCCCACATATTAAGTAGCCAGCAATTAAAGCCCGCTTCTTTCGATCTCCTGTGTAGTCCCACCACTGAGTGCTGCTCCACATGCAGCTTAGTTCACCACTATTTGCGCACAACCCGAAGTCAACCAGCCAAGTGTAAGCCAACTGCGCTTCCGCCAAATCTTTCCATGGCCCCAAAATCTAACCCGTAATTAGATCATCTGCCCAAAGTGAAGGCAACTGACGCACTTTGCTGTTGGCCGGCCACCGAACTGGGAACTGTGAATGGACTTCTCCACAGTGCGGCGATAGCTCACAGTCCAGTCGGTTGGCCAGCTCCAATATCTCGCCGAGATCGCACTGATTTACGACCGCAAGAGGTACCACGTATACCCTATACCCCATTGCGATCCCCAATAGTTTGCTCTTTGCACCCTCACTCATCGACGAGCCAAGTCGTTGAAAACATTTGTTCTGGGTGGATGACGCGCTTGTTTGTTGGTTTCTTCTTTTTTGTGTGAAAAGACGATAGCGATAAGGAAAAGCGTGGAAAAGTCGACGGCGCACAAGCACGCGGCCGATCGATAGCGAATCATATCACAGTTTTGCCCCACTGTGGCAGCAGAAGTTTTGATTCAGAGTAATTGAGCCAACTTTTCCACTGAACTCTCATCGCCACGCGCCGCCAGAGGCTGAACTTTGAGGGAGTTCACCTCGCAGCCTCGCAGTCTTCGCTGGGTGTTGACTAATGCCGTTCCATGGATGAATAATCGGTGCGTGGCACTCCGTGGATATGGTCCACTTGGCGCTCGGCGGACACATGAATGGGCGGCTGACTCAGACGCAATTGAGTCGATGGGCAGATCTAGTCTGCAGTGTCTTGGGCTTAACTTGTGGTATCGGGATACCAGGTTGTGATATCAGCTTCTTTGACTGACCGCTGGTAAGGCTACAGAAAAGATACAGTACACCAAGAGAGCACTTGCAAGTATAAATAAACCTTTAAAGCGGAAAATAGCAGCTGGGCACGTATATAGCCTCATTAGGAGCTTGTTATCAACGGCACCAGCGACACGACACCCTGACCTATCAATTAATCCGCTCAAGCACTTGTTGCACTAGTCTCAGGTGTAATTAGGACGTATTAACTGGGCCAACACGCAGGCGAGGGATACCTGCCACATTCAATATCCAATTAATCCAAGCGGCTCCGTCCAGCTGGCGCTAAATTTAGACATTGCCATTTGGCGTTCCACTGACGTAGGCGTCGTGTTCCGTGACGTTGGCGACCCCCGCCCATCGCCAGCGAGGGCATGGCCAGCCCCACGAAGACCCCCGTCCAATCGCGAATTTCGCCGTAATTGCCATTGATTATCGGTATCAGCCGGCGCAAACAGTCGATCCACCCTGATTCCCTGATTCCCTGTTGCCTTGTTGCCTTGTTGCCTCGCTGGTGTCTGGAAATCGGGGGGCTAATGCGCTGCCCTCGCCGCGATTTCTGTCGAGGATTATTGATATAGTAGGCGGGGTGGCAACACAATTGAAATCGCCCGCTTATCACCCTTTGGACAACCCTTTTGGGGGTTGGCTTGGGGTGGGGTATGCGGCTAAGTGGGTGGGCGGCCAGCGGTTAGTCATGGGGGCTCGGGGCAGCCGGACATTAATCCCAGATCCAAGGCGCGATGATTCAGCGGGCAGCTAGCCAAGGATGGGCCGCCAATGGCCAATGTGCAGACAATGAAAGCGTGTGGTATTTCGATTAATTTATTTACTAATTAGTGGGCTACCACAAACTAAGCCCAGGCTCATTGACAATAAACAATTTCTGCGCAATTTGGCTTTAGATATTAGGTGTTACACATTAAATGTTAGCTGTTATAAGTCACCTTATCGGGATTTTCCAGGAGTCATCCATCACTTTTAATGCCGCGAGGCGTACGATAGCACATCGCATTAAAAGTTAGTAGCCTCATTAATTATAGCTTGCAGAATGAACTATTTACTATTCATGTGAATGAAGTAATACTACAATAATGCACTAGAACTAGAAATTAGAAAACATAATTCCAAGTTATATGACTAGTTTTCCCTTTGCTCTATGACTAATTGTTCTAGTTTGCGTGGAATAATATTTTGCAACATATTCATGACACGTTGTTAAGCGTAATGTTATGCAAATAATATGTAATACATTATTATTAAATTATTATTAAGCAATCCTTGGGCAAAGATACTTCTCCCCACAGATTCAGCTGGCATCCGTATCCGACCGTATCCGCCTGGGGCCAACTCATCGCGACAAGAATTTAGGCACTCCACTCACTTCATGAGTGGCCCCCGCTGACGGTAAACTCCACTCGAGCTGCGATCTTGGGATCCAAGTTTTTTGTGCCCGGCTGCGAGTTTGGCGCTCTTACACATCGCGAAAACACTTCCGTTTCGGCATTGGGTCGTCAAACAAAAAGGGAGG